TTTCCAAAAATTAAAAGAAGTTGTTCTAGGAGGTAAAACATATACGAATACACTAACATGCACAGACTTATCCTTCAAAGTATACCATCATCTGATAAATCACTTCCTGCGCCATCCGGTGAGTCTTGGTCTTAATCCAGACCTAAAATATGCGAAGGTTTCGCTATAATCACTGTTACTTACAATTTCTTTGAGAACCCATATGCATCACTTTATACTCACAAGTCACCAGAAATATTGATACACTGAAAATTGGATATTTGGTAAACATATAACTGAATACCGGCGTACTGAATAACCATAAACTTGCTAGCTGAAAGGCCGCTAACTAGTAACTGAGATAAACTGATAATCATAAAACATGATAACTTCTTTTGTACTTTCTAATTAGGTTATGCTCTAATATATACTACTATCCATTGCATCCCACTTTCAACATACCCTCAAATCTTATTTGTTACCAACCTGCACTCCATAGATATACCCCAATGGGCAATTGTCCTCTCTAGAACCTTAGGTTTCTCCTGTGTGTCGCTTGGGCATCCAATACGTTTGGAATTCGATAGGAAGAGAAGGCTACCTATTTCTCTAAGTATCATGGCACGATCTAGAGTAGAAAGAAATAAGACAATCCTGGATGTCTTGGTAGTTAACCGTTTATATGAGTGGCCGGCACACACATATAAAGGAAACTTCACTGGACACGACTTCATAGACTCCCTAAAACTCTCGAACGTAGTACTCTGATACCAAGCTTTGTCACACCCCGAACCTGGGCCTGGACGTAACATGGCACTCGGTGCCTGATTACATGTGACCGAGCGAACCCACTAGCTGACTGAATCAACATGTGATATCATAACATACTGAATGCGGAAGATAAACTAATACATGCTGATATACTAGAAGTATAAATGATATAAATCAAAGTGCGAAAATACTAATACAATTTTGAAATATATTTGTAGCCAACATAACTTAATATGAAAAGCCTGTGACTCTGTCTAGCTGTTACTCTAGTCTATGAAGCCTCTATTGAAGTATTGAAAACACTGACTATCTGAAAATACCGAAGACTGTAAGGTAATGATAATGCCCCGAAAGAACTGGGGATCACCAAATAGCTGGTACGAGAATCCTAACGCTCTGGATCGTCAACCTGTAAATCATTACCTGCATCGTGAGATGCAGGCCCCAGGCAAAAGGGACGTCAGTACATTTGAATTGCACTGGTATGTAAAGCAACTGAAAGAAAGAATTATGAATGCTGAAACTGAAACTAAGTTGTTTACTGAGAATTGATAATTGATACTGAAATGATAACTATTGAAACATAAATTGGAACGATAACTGATAACTGATAATTGAAAAGATAACTGATAACCGATATCTGAAATGATAACTAATAACTGAAATGATAACTGAACTGAACAAAGGAACTAAGGATATAAATACTCCCTCTTCTGAATGATGAACCACCTGTTTATCTGAATAAATAAACTGCGGCCTCACGCCCAATATACATGTGCACAAACTGCGGCCTCGGGCCCAAGTATACGTATACATAACTGCGACCTCAGGCCCAAAGATGCATACAGCAAAAACTGCAGCCTCAGGCCCAAAGATGCATAAAACATAAACTTTGGCCTCAGGCCCAAATACAGGGGTTCAACATTCAGGGATTTAAAATCAGTAATTGAGAATCATACTACAATACATGGTACTGAAATACTGAATCATATTAAGTTACATGATACTCGAATGCTGAATAGAACTAACTGAGACATGTATTCATGAACTAATTATGAAAATTGAAACTTCAACTGTTTATGACATGCTGAGTAATCTAGACTGAGACTCATGGGCATCAAACCCAAGTCTATATTGATTACTCACTGAGCTCACAACATTCAGAATGAAAGTCATGAACGAGTTACGAAGCTAGAGAATAGAAGTTCTATAACTATTCAAGGAACTAGGCTTAACTATATTTCTGAGGCAATTAGTAACGTCGTAAAAGAAACGTAGTGTAGGGAGAATCATTAACATTCCCAAACATAGAGAGAGAGCCTCACATACCTTAATTTTCTGCTCTTGAGCGTAATACAATATTCGCCAACCCTTTCAACTTTAATCTATATCAATACAAGTCAAAGGGATTCCACATTAGCAATAATTTTCATGTTTTGGTTACTTAGGTATTTTCTCAAACACTTGGTGGCATAAAGCTTCATAGTCCTTATTAATGGTGTCTCTACACCCAATAACCCATTGTCTTGCTCCTAGATAAATTCTAAAGTCTCAAATGGTTATAATCAACATCATTCTTTATCACCCATAAGGTAAACAACACCCTTAACCAATAATCAACAATCAACACCCCAAACCTATAACCGTTCATGCTTTTCTATCAAACCTATCAACTCATATCTCATGAACTAGAGTCTATAATCATAAATCCAATGCTAAAATCAATTAGAGGGTGAAGACATTACCTTTTTGAAGTTCAATCCCCTTGAATTCGAGTTCTAGGGTTCCTTCTTTTAGTAATGATGTCCCAATGGAATATATAATGATATGGAGGGTTTACCCATGTTAATAAGATGTTGGAAATTTGAAATTAACTTAGAATCACCATTAGAACTTACCTTGGATGGTGGAGGGACCCTTAAGGAATTAGATTTTTGAGAGCTCCCCTTTTTAGAGCAAGTTTTTGTGTTTTGGGGGGTGTGGGGGACGAAGTGGGGCTTTAAAATGACCCCCAAGTGCACCCCCCGCGCACCTGATGACCTGACCGAGCACGTGACCACGCAAAATGCCAGTAACACTGCCACAAGTGCGCGGCCGCGCACGGGGCGCACACTGGGCGGGCATATTGCGTAGTGTTCTATAAAACGCACATAAAATTTTGCATAGAGATCCGTTTGGGCTCCACAATTTATTGTTGGAAAGCTATTTCAAAGGCCTACAACTTTCGTATTTTGAGTATTCCAAAATACCTTACACATTTTTACTAAATCCTGCTGCAAGACTGACCTTTTGTAAACTTAGTAGATTTATCGAATCTTGCATACCTCACTCTTTGTCTTGATTCTAAAATAACTAATTTCACCCATACTCATCCCTCTAGCACTTGATATGTCTAAAATATCAGATTAATACTCATTTAACATATCCACACCTAGTCCCAATGTACGGGGTGTTACATACAAGAGGCATATGTAGTGTAAATATGAAGAACAAATAAGGTGAATGTAATGACGAAGTATTCATACCTCTCGTTTCTAAGGTATAGCTCGCTTAACATTAGAATGTTCTTTTTAGTAGGGGAGATTGTAATAACCTGATTTTTTTACATACATACATACATATATATATATANAGATTTTCTGAATATGTATATATATATATATATATATATATATATATATATATATATATATATAAAGAGAGAGGGAGAGACACACACACTAATTAATGACGAGACTAGAGAATTAATTTTATTTGTAGTTATTAGGTAAAATATAAAAAAAAATTAAGGAAAGAGAGAGAGAGACACACACACACACACACATATATATATATATATATNTTCACTGAAGAAGACTAGTAAAAGTGGGCCCTAGATCAAACAATAACTCTGTCAAGGGTTACACACATTCCCCTGGCATGATTTCAGTGTCTCTGGTGCTCTTTGTGGTGACTTTGTCTATGGAAGAAACCCCTTACGAAACTTCTCAACAAGAGAAAAGAAAATGCCCAATGCCATTTACTTAGTGTTAGACACTAAAAACTACAACCGAATAATTGGTCTTGCAACAAATTGTTGTTTCATGGAATTATACAAAAATGAAAACAGACAAACAAGATATCCAGGAAGATGTACTATAAAGATGTATGCGACGTCTTGTTCTATATTTGACAAAGAAACAGAGCAAAACAGTATTTTTAAAAACTGCATAAAAGAGAGCTCTTACATTTCGTAAGTTACAGGATTGTCATTCATCTAAGCTTCTGCAGCCTTCATTGTTCTTGTGTCCTTTGTTCATTTTGTAGAAGGGGACAAACTAGGCTTTCAGTGTAGATTTCCGCCTCAAGACATGCATCAAAGTTAGTCACCTCTGGATAACTGATCGAGTTATCATCAGGACTGTATTTCATGAAAACTGATCCAAACACAAGCAAAATTTCACCTTTACTTGACATACAAAGGGGTGGAGAAAACATATACTTCCCAGGATCGTTAGGACATCTGATGGAATACATTTTTGTCCACGACTCTTTAACGTCACTATCCTTCATAACCCACACACTCTGCCCAAGTTCTCTGATATTAGCAAGCACGCAAGATCATCTCCNGTCATTCAAAAATAGTCAGCGTTTACCAAGTCAATAAAAAATAGCCACTATTTTGCTGCAGCAGAGACCGGTCCAGCATAATATACTGGAGTTTGGTGCACCTGTGTATGAACTCCAGCATATTATGCTGGACCAGTATACTTTGCTGGATCTAGTATAATATACTGGAGACTGGAGCACCGGTGCTCCAAACTCCAGTATATTATGCTGGACCGGTATACTTGTTGGAAATCTAGTATATTATGCTGGAGTTCTAGTGTACTTATGTTGGAACTCCATCATATTATGCTTGAGTTCCAGCATACTTATCTTGGAACTCCAGTATAATATGCTGGAGTTCAAGTATACTTATACTGGAGTTCAAGTATACTTATGCTGGAACTCCAGCATAATATGCTGGCGTATTTTCGGGGTTTTGAACAGTGTTTTCGCTCAGATTTATTTTTACATAAAAAGTGGCTAAATATCAATTACTTTTGAAACTGGGCTATTTTTGAACGACCAGTTGTAAATCTGGCTATTTTTGAATTTCACCCAAAAATAGTATAATTGAGGTCTTAGCCAAAATATATAAAAAAAGAAGAAGTGAAATACGTTGAGAAGGGACACTTAGGTTCAGCGGCGGCTATCACTGTTCGTGGTGAAGAAAGAATTTGGTATATATATATATATAAACACCAGATGGCCGGTGCCCGTGCTGTGCACGGGCCTATGCTCGACATCGTTTGCGCTCATTGTACAACTAAAAGATTACAAAAACAAAGGTTTAACATAGTATTTGTTTCCATCATTCAGCGGATTACAAAAACTAAATAGTTTGAAGTCGGATTACAAGTAAAAACTCCAAAGAGATTACAAAAACTAAATAGTTTCAAAGGTTGATGCAAGTCGAACCAGGTAACACTCAATCTAGAGAATGCCTTCCACTGCTTCTCTGAAACAGAGTTAATTAAGTCAATTAGCTATGTGGTGCAACCTGAAAAATGTATTTATTATAAAATTTTGGGCATCATTCAATAAATTGGAGGATAACTATTATATATTAATGTCAAAGGTAAAAACAAACAATAAGCATATTTTATTGACTATAAATATAGAAATATTAAAGCGAAAAATCAAACAAGTGAGTATCGCATTTATCATGGAAAGAGTAAAACAAAGCAGAACTTTCTTGATCATATTTATCTAAAAGCAACCTTTAAAATCTAGAGGGACAAGAAATTAGAAAACAACATAATGATGTTTACGCATAACATTAATAATCAAAGAATTGGAAATAAGAGAGATAAAGTGTAAGATTTTAAATTCGAAGGCTCTATGGTACTTACCAACCTAAGTTAACAGAATTTCTTTTTTTTTTTAAAAAGAAAATCTGGTTGCTAATCAATATTTTTAAGAAGAAAATATTGGAGATGTTGAACATTTTGAGAAACTTTTAGAGCTTCAATTGTACCTGTTACTCCAATGAAAATACCATAGGATCCTAGATACTGCTTCATCAAGAGTAGAGCAGAATATAGAAAATCATGTATTGTCATCTGCCAAAGAGGTTTAAAGCATGAGCTATCGACCAAACTAAATATTTAATGAATTTACTATTTTCAAGTTAAAGAAACCACTTTTTTATCTGAGAAAGTTCTGAATGTGGTTATCAATAGAATAAAGCTTGTCAAGGAAGTTCTAGACGTATAGACCTTGCTTCCTAGCAAGAAAAGATTTAAATTCTAATACCATATTCAAATACCATACATCTAGCTATAAAAATTAATAATGAAATCAAGCTAGATGCCTCTTTATTAGTTGAATCTTCAACGCATAAAGAAGCTATGAGACTATGATATTAGTATAACACATTAGCTGAAGAACCTCCAATATCTTGTGTCAGAAATTGACCTAGCAGAAATCCCAAACTGCTATCATACGACAACAAAACCTGACGCTGTATATATTTAGGGCAAATTAGTATCTTAAATATTCAAAATTTTTCCCAAGTAGTCCTTATAAGTTTGTAACGACCCAGCCGGTCGTTTCATGAGTTACAACCCCGTTTCTCCATTTCTGCTTCTTTATATGTTGTTCAGCTGTATTTCATCATATCGTGTTGGTTGTTCTGTGTTTGGAGTGGTCTTGGAGTAAAATGAGATACTTAGTCTCTAATTTAGGAGCTTAAGTTGGAAAAGTCCACCGGATGTTGACTTATGTATAGAAGGTCTCAGATGTGAATTCTAATGGTTCGGATAGCTTCGTTAGGTGATTTTGAGGAGCCATTTGAGGTCTGATTTTGATGATTTTGGTATGTATAGACTCGTGAGAGGATAAGGATTCTATTGTTGTGATTTTTATCGGATTCTAAGACGTGGGCCCGGTTATTGCGTTTGGCCAATTTCGGGAATTTTGATTTAATTTGATAATTTTTGCGTGGGTTTTGTTCCTGGCATGTATTGATGATATGATTCTGATTTCGGAAGGTTGTCGGAAAGATTTTTGAAGTTGAGAGATGGCAGATTTTTGCTGCTTCTGGTATTTTTGCATCTGCGGTTTGGGAACCGCAGATGTGGCTAAGGAAACCGCAGAAGCGGGTTTAGGGTGGTTCAGCAGCTTCCGTAGATGCGGTGGATTTTCCACAGAAGTGGAACCGCATCTGCGAGATCAAGACCGCAGATGCGGAAATTGGAGTCCTTAATGAAAGCCGCAGAAGCAGGACCGCAGATGCGGTCCCTCGACCGTAGAAGCGGAAATCACTGGTCTGAAATATGAAATTCGAGGGTTTAGTTTCAAAAAATAGAAAAATCAAATTGGAGCTCGGGAGAGGGCGATTTTGAGAGGGATTTGAAGAGGAGATCATTGGGTAACGTTTCTTTAATCCTTTCTAGTTATATTCCATCAATCTATAGTCAATTTTATCATTTAAATTCGGATTGGGGATCAAAAATTGAGAAAAATTGGAAGAAACTTCTTAGACTGAATTATTGAGTTTTGAGTGGGTGTTTGACCTCTGATTCGGGAGATTTTTGTATGGTTAGATTCGTGAGAGTGCGAGGGTTCTGAAAATGTGAAAATTTTCCGGTTTCGAGACGTTGGCCTAAGGGGTGTTTTGGTCATTTTACCTAAATTCGCGTCTTAGCTTTAAATTTAATAGTAGAATCAGTTGCTTGAGATGTTATTTACGATATGTAATTGAATTGAATAGATTTGGGCCATTTGGAGTCGGATACTCGTGGAAAAGATGTGGTTTCGAGTTGATTTTGGAGCCGGTTTGAGGTAAGTGGCTTGTCTAACCTTGTGTGGGGGACCTTTCCTCTTAGGATATGATATTTGGTAATTGAATGCCTTGTACGTGAGGTGACGAGCGCGTACTTGAGCTAATTGTTGAAAAATCCGGTTTTACTTTAAATATTTAGACTGAGTTTCTTTTTATCTGCTTTATTTTATTTGCAATTATAGACTGTGTTAGCCAGAAAAGCATGCTTAATTGTTCTAAATTGTCTATTTGTTCAAGTTGCCTTGTTTGCATTACGTGAAAGATGTTAGGCTAGAACTACCCGTTGCCTTGTATTTTTGAGCTTCATTTCTGTATATTCTTCGTGTTGTGACTGCGTATTTACATTGGGACTACGGATGTGGGATTCCGGTAGCTCCCCCCTTGTTTGTTTACTTTGGGACTACGGGTTAGATTCCCGGTAGATCCCCCTGCACATTTACTGGACTACAGGACAGTATCCTGGGAGATCCTCGTTGTTGGTATTGGTATTGAGCTGTTTTACTCTGTGTTGTCTTATTTTCTAAGTGTTAATTGTTGCCTTGTATAACCTGTCTTACTTCATAGCTGTACTCATTACTTCCGTTTATTTCATGCTGTTGCAAGATTTATTATTATGCTTATTCTCAGTAGGGCCCTAACCTTCCTCGCCACTACCCAACCGAGGTTAGGCTTGGCACTTACTGAGTACCGTTGTGGTGTACTCATGCCCCTTCTGCGCATGTTTTTCATGTGCAGATTCAGGTACTTCATCCCAGGCGTATCACTCTCGAGGCGGAGAGACCTAGCAGAGACTTCGAGGTACATCTGCCTCGTCCGCAGACCAGGAGTCTCTATCTTATTCTAGCTTTAGCAGTTAGCTTTTCCTTTCGTACTGTTGTTTTAGACATTCTGGTGTTAGAGCAGTGTATTACCTTCCGTTAGCTTGTGTTCCCGTGAGTTTCCGGGTTTTAGGATGATATTGTAGACTTCCGCATTATTGGGTTGTATATGCCGAGCGACATTTATATGCAGTTACCGTTCTAGTTTGTTTAGTTTAATTAATTATTTCCGCAAGTTATGTTATTTCGCATTGTTAGGCTTACCTAGTCGTAGGGACTAGGTGCCATCACGACATGTTCTCGGAGGGCGAACTGGGGTCGTGACAAGTTGGTATTAGAGCTCTAGGTTCATAGGAGTCACGGAACACAGGCCGGTTTACTAGAGTCTCGCTGATCGGTACGGAGACGTCTGTACTTATCTACGCGAGGCTATGTAACTGTTAGGAATATTCTCACCTCATTTGATTTCCTTGTCGTGTGATATTTTGACATCACAAATTCTAAACTTCTGTCTTCTATTCTCTCACAGATGGTGAGGACACGCGCTACTCGGGATGATCAGGCACCCGTGCCCCTTACTGCAGCCGTCAGAGGCCGGGGTCGGGGTAGAGGTCGAGGACGCGCACGTGGTGCAGCCGGAGCACCTGCGCGAGCTGCCGCCGAGGCACCACCAGTAGATCCATCTGGAGCCCAAGCACCTGGCACGCCTACTACTGCCACTACCATGAGTATGTACACCACCTTGGCTCAGGCTGGGTTGCTTCCCCTTGCTGCAACCACATCCCAGGCCGGGGAAGGAGCACAGACTCCCGCCGTCCGCACTCCTGAGTAGTGAGTGCATGTTGAGCAGGTCCCCAAGATTATTCCCGCACCGCCTGCAGTGCCAGTTCAGCCCGAGGACGGGTCAGCTGCTTCATAGGACGAGCAGCGGAGACTTGAGAGGTTCAAGAAGTATGATCCGCATTATTCAGTGGATTAGCATCAGACAATGCCTTGGGATTTCTAGAGGAGTGTCACCGTATTCTTCGCACTATGGGCATAGTAGAGTCTAGTGGGGTTTCCTTCACTGGCTTCCAGCTTCGGGGAGCCGCCTATGATTGGTGGCGCACTTATGAGATAGATAGTCCAGCCAAGGCTGCCACACTGACCTGGACCTAGTTCTTAGATATGTTCATGAGAGAGTTTGTTCCCCAGAGTCTGAGGGACGCATGGCGCGCAGAGTTTGAGCATTTGCGCCGGGCTGCTTTGACCGTTTCGGAGTATGCTATCCGCTATACCAGGTTGGCCAGGCATGCACCGGCCTTGGTTGCTACAGTTCGTGAGAGAGTTCGTAGGTTCATTGAGGGTCTTATCCCACCCATCAAATCTAGCATGGCTCGAGAGTTGGAGATGGACATTCCTTATCAGCAGGTAGTGAGCATTGCTAGGAGGATTGAGGGTATGCTCGCCAGGGAGCGAGGGGAGAGGGAGGCCAAGAGGTCTCGAGAGTCGGGTCACTACTCTGGTGCCCGTATCCAAGCAGCAGGTCATTATGGCAGAGGTTATGCAGGTCGCCCCGTTCATTCAGCTCTTCCAGCAGCTAGCAGTGCTCCAGCTCCGCCTATACCTCAGGAGCCTTACTATGCACCTCCAGTTTCTAGCGCGCCTCCTACGCGGGGTGCTTTCAGAGGTCAGTCCAGCAGACCTGACCCTAGTTAGTCACAGCCACCGCGTTCTCCCAGAGCTTGTTTCGAGTGTGGTGATACACGCCACATGGTTAGGGACTGCCCCAAACTTGGTAGGGGTGCATCTTCACAGACTGCTCAGCCATAGCGTGCTCCTCAGAGTTCTCAGGCCATGGTTACAGCTCCAACTGCCACCCCATCTACCCAGCCGGCTAGGGGCAGAGGTCGGGGAGGTAGAGGTCGCCCGCGAGAGAAAGGCCAGGCCAGATATTATGCTATTCCTGCTCGTACCGAGGTTGTTGCCTCCGACTCTGTGATTACAGGTATTATACTGGTTTGTCACAGAAAGGCATCGGTTCTATTCGATTCGGGCTCTACTTATTCTTATGTTTCTTCTTACTTTGCTCCATATTTGGGTGTGCCTCGGGATTTTTTGAGTGCCCCAATTTATGTTTCTACTCCTGTGGGGGATTCTCTTGTTGTGGACCGCGTTTATCAGTCATGTCTGGTTACTATTCGTGGTTTTGAGACCAGAGCGGATTTATTATTACTCGGTATGGTTGATTTTGATATTATCTTGGGCATGGACTGGTTGTCGCCCCATTTTGCTATTCTTGATTGTCACGCCAAGACTGTGACGCTGGCTATGCTAGGTATTCCGCGTGTTGAGTGGAGTGGTACTTTAAATCACACTCCCAGTAGAGTTATCTCTTTCCTTAAAGCTCAGCGTATGGTTGAGAAGGGGTGTGCCGCATATTTAGCTTATGTGAGAGATGTCAGTGCTGATAACCTTT